AAAAACAACAACAACAACAAAAGCACAATGCTACACAAGAAATGTACTCCTTGCTTTACTCATATAACTCTAACCCCTCTGTACAGCATCTGCACAATAAAATTTTTTTAAAAAAATAACTCAGGGACGGCACCCAGGCCCTGAGTTCAGACCCCAGGACTAGCACCAAAAAAAAAAACCTAACCACCACCATGCACACAAGGGAAAGCTAAGTCTCTTCTTCAAAGGGCATACAAGTACAGTTAGGGCAGGGCAAACTCAAGAGGAGTTTCACTCTCGCTCTACACTTGTCAAATAACTGAAGACACTGGTTCCTTCTGGCCAGAAAGTAAGTCAGGAGCCCAAGGGCAGCACTGTCTCCCCCATGGCTTCCCCAAGTCCACTTGAGGGATGAGCAAACAAGGCTCTTTAGTGGCCATCAGCTCACCATCAGTGCATAAGACCAGAAAAACAAAACTGAAGACGTCAACAGCATGGCCTGATTGCCCATGAGAATATGTTATGAAGTATTTCCAAAATAAAATGTTGTGTCACCACGATGAAACCACGTGTGGCACATTTTATTTTGGAAACACTTGGTATCTTATTTCTACTATTTGCAGAATACAGCATTACTGCCAAAGAGCCTTCCTTACATACACCCTCATGCAGGGCACGTGGTATTGTCTATGTTATTTCTATTCCATTCCTGCTATTTTATGGAGAGAAGAGCCTCAGTAAGTGATTCCCTTTAAGATCCTAATTACTAAGTGAAGACTAAATCTCTTCCTCCGAGATTTTATGGACTTTCCTGCCAGGGCTGGCTTCAAACTAAAACCTTCAGATCTTAGCCTTTTCAGCAGCTGTGATTACAGGCATGAGCCACCAGCGCCCAGCTCAGATTTTGACTTAGGATCTTCCTATTACAGAAGAGACTTTCTTGGATATAATGAAGCGAAATCAGCGAAACAAAACTGTTCCACCAAAAGTCACTCCTACACAAAGTGATTTATATTACATAAAGAATAATCAAGTTTTTATTTGCCAACTAATTTACTTTCTGAGAGAGATTTCTTTATCCCAATTCCTCACCAAGTGTTCTCAGCTACCAATAAGTCCATAAAAGGAGTAAGGGGGGTTGCCAGGTTGTGGTAAGCATTTCCAAAGGACTAAAGAAAAAAGCTGTAAAAAATAAGCTGCACATTTATTGAATCAGGCTCTGTGTGTGTGTGTGTGTGTGTGTGTGTGTGTGTGTGTTCGCATGCGCACGCGCGTGCGTGTGATCATACAACTGTTAGCACTGACTGGCAATTAGGTATGTTTACCAAAAATGGAAAAACAATATCACGAAACACCAAAGAAAGGCTCCTTGAGGTCAAAAAAGAACACTTCATACTCTAGTTCAAGACAAAGTTAGAAAGCATGACGAAAGCAGCTTAATTCCATGGGCTGGGAAACATCTATGTTCTGTTCTTCACTTCTGAGCCTTCCCTATGCAGTCAAATCCCAGACTTGCTATCAAACCCTAGTGACCCTGCGCGGTTGGTTCTGTGCCAGCACTTTCTGCACTTCTGGCCCATTTTCTGGCAGCTTATCTTCAAGGCAGTTCAGCCTGCCATTCAGATCTACAGCTAGAATGGTGACTGCTTCGGCAGAGGTGGGGAGCCCTGTTTCTGTCGAGGGCCCCTTCTGTTTTATAACATCATTTGAGAGCCATAGGCAATGATCAGGATGGACAGACAGGCCATGGGCAGCTGACGAACAAGTACAAGAAACCTATTATCAAATATGCTGGAGATCTTAACCGTCCCCCACCCCTATCCCGGACATACAGCCAAAACAATATTTATGAAGTCACAGATAAAAAGCATAGAACATAATTAGGAAAATATTTTTCCTGCCACCAATCCAAAAAAAAAACACCACCACACTTAGAGATATTCTGTCCAGGCAACAGTTGCTCATGCCTGTAATGCCAGCTACTATCAGGAGGCTGAGATCTGAGGACCTTGGTTTGAAGCTGGTCCTTGCAGGAAAGTCCAAGAGATTCATCTCCAATTAACCAACAAAAGCCAGAAGTGGAGCTGTGGTTCAAGTGGTAGAGTGCTAGCCTTGAGCACAAAGAGGTTCAGGTACAGCTCCCAGGGCCTGATTTCAAGCCCCAGGCATGGTGAGCAAACTCACTAGTGGGAGAGGGAGGAGGAGAAGGAGGGAGGGCGGTTGGGAGGGAGAGGGGGAGGGAGGGGGGAGGGAGAGGGGGAGGGAGGGGGGAGGGAGAGAGGGAGAGATTAATTCTGTTTTAACGCAGCATAAGAAAACATAATCAAAGCAGAAATAAATGGTTAAGAACTGAGGAAGGAAGGGGAAGCTTGCAGGGCAGCCAACCACACAAAGACAGATTGGGGTGACAGGGAGGGAGGGGTGAGGGCACTCCACATAGGATAATCAGCTGGTTTGGAAAAGCTGAGCCATGTGGGCACAGCGACTTTTGAGGATGACCCAGATGCCATCCTTCCAAATGTTACAAGAATGAGGATGCTGCTTAGCAAGTACGGAGAGGCAAGGTTTAGCAAGTATAAAGAGAAGTTACAGAAGATATGAAACCCATTCTTTTAATAAGCTACAAGTATTTTTTCCCCAGAAAAACCCAGCGGAAAACAGAAAAGGGGAAGAAAACACACATACCATAGGAGATCCTGGTATTTGAAATCCAACCCCATTTTTTTCCCTTGCTCTTTTCCTTTTAAGCAACGTAAATAAGCTGTGTAAGAGTTCATCAAAACAGTCGTCTGCTCAGCAAGAATGATATGTGTGGGATCTGATTCAGAATAATGCAAGATGGGGCAGGGGTCAAACAAGATTGGGAACACAGTGTTTCTCTCCCTTGTTCAACTATTACATGCTTGATGATGTTTTTCCATAACAAAGTTAGCACACCCTCATACTGAGCACGATTATCTTCTTACAATGTCTGTCACAATTCACTAGCAGCTCAATTTTAATAGCTTCTTCAGGCAGCATCCATACATTACTCCCTACCAAATCTAAGTCAGCATCATCATTGCCCTTCCTAATCCAGGAATCCTTCTTTGAGGCAGGTCCTATCAACAACATGGTTCTCAAGTGAGCACTGCAGGCCATGCAGGTGAAAAGATTCGCTGACAGGACTGCACTCCTGGCATTAGAAATGCCAGCAGCACAAGCTGGATGCTGGTGGCTCACACCTGTAATCGTAGCTACTCAGAGGAGGCCGAGATCTGAGGATCACAATTCAAAGCCACTCCACCTAGGAAAGTACAAGAGACTCTTCTCTCTAATTAGGCAGAAGAAGAAAAAGAGGAGGAGGAACAGGAGGAGGAAGAAGAGGAGGAAGAGGAGGAGGAGGAAGAGGAGGAGGAGGAAGAGTAGTAGTAGTGGTGGAGCTGTGGCTCAAGTGGTAGAACACCTAATCTTGAGCAAAAACACCTAGTCTATCCACTACAGGACAGTGTCCAGGCCTGAGTTCAAATCCCCACCAAAAAAAGTCAACACAGCAACAACCCCACCCCATCCAGCCCCCACTGGAAAGCACACAGACAACCCTAACGTTACACGCCACACTTGAGCGCTTCCAGTCCCGGATGGTAGACACATTTTCCCAATGCACCTGAGCGGCTTTCTGCCTATCAGTTCAGACCCCTCTCATTTAAACCAGAGCCACCTTTCCCAGCTAACATCCCAATTTTCTAACAGAAAAAAAATCGTCCTGCAAGCCGCTGAGGCTAGCCGTGCTGATAACGTCGATCTCACCACTTCCGGTTTCCCATATTTGGAAAAATCTTCCGTCTAAACCTGAGCTTCTCCAGTCTGAGCAGTGCCGGCCACCCACAAATAACCGTGCACTTCGTGGAGCTTCCGTGTCCCCAAGGGTCCTGTCCTTCCTCCAGCTCTCCAAAACTGTACACGGCCACTAAGGCAAAATCAGTCGCTCTCTTCAGCTTTCTTATAGTCCTGGTGGTGGTCTGGCTTTGTTGCATGAAACTGGCCCCCACCTGCACCCCGCGCCCAGGTCTCCCGCAAGAAGTCTGGAAGTCTGCAGGAGCTGGGGTGCCCCGTGCTCATCTCACTCCCGGAGCCTCCTGCTGAGGACTTCCAGGTCAGTCGTGGTGACCTGGCAGCCTCCGCCCACTCCCCCACCCCCCCACGGGTGCACACCGCCGGGGCCTTTCCGGGAGGGGGTCGGGGTCAGGGGTCAGGGCCCCCCCCTCGTCTCGCGCCCCCTCTCCCGCCCCCCCCGTCCCGTGCCCCCCTCTCCCGCCCCCCCGCGCCCCCTTTCCCCCGCGCCCCCTCTCCCGCCCCCCCCCCGCGCCCCCTCTCCCGCCCCCCCGTCCCGTGCCCCCCTCTCCCGCCCCCCCCCCGCGCCCCCTTTCCCCGCGCCTCCTCTCCCGCCCCCCCCGCGCCCCCTCTCCCCCGCGCCCCCTCTCCCCCTCTCCCGCCCCCCCCAGGCCGCATTCCGGCGTTAGTACCTTCTCGAACTCCAACTTTAAAAATACATGAACAGACAAGTACGGACGAGAATAACGCTGGACTGCGCGACCCGAGGCCGAGGCGGGGACGGGGAAACGGGGTCACCGCGAAATCACCGAGAGAAAGGGGAACGGCGCGGGCCGCGCGGCCCGACGGCCGGCAGGGCGGCCCTCCCCGCGCCCGCCCGGAGAGCAGCCGCGAGCTCAGACACAGCCGGGTGAGCGGGGGAAACTTCTGTGGAAAAGAGCCTTCGGGGGCCTCGGGACGCGGCGCTTCCGCGGTCCCCGAGGCGCGGCTGCGGGCTGCCATGGCAACGGGCGCGGACGGGGGCCGCCGGGGGCCAAAACGCCCGGGCCGCGCCCGCCCCCCCGCCCCGCCCCCGCCCCGCCCCCGGGCCCCGCGCCGGCCAATCGCGGGGAGGGGGCGTGACCGGCCGCCCGCCCCGCCCCGCCCGGGGGATGGGGGTGGGGCGGCGCCCCGGGCGGGGTACTCGGGGCGCCCCCGGCCCCCCTCACCGTGATGTTGCAGTGGAGGGTGAGCGGCGGCGGCGGCGGCGGCGGGTGCGGGCTGCCGAGCGGCGCCGGCGCCGGCGGCACCAGGAACTGGCAGTGCAGCTCGTCCAGCTTCCAGCTGACGATGCGGAATCGCTCGTGGCTCTTGTCGAAGATGGACGCCAGGAACTTCAGCTCGGCCTTGAGCCCTGACACCGACATCTTCCCCTCATCTCCGGAAGGAGGGGTGTGGGGAGAAGCGTCTGACCTGAAGTCGCCGTCACGGCGGCCGCAGCCGCGACCGCCCCCGCGGGGCCCGGCCCGGGGCCGCGTTCTCACGGCTCCGCCTTTCCCGCTACGACGACGGCCCGCGTCCGAGCGCGGCTGGGGAAAATGGCGAGGGGCGCGCGGCCTCCGCGAGCCGCGGCTGCCTTTGTAACCGACTCCACCGGCGGGAGGTGGCGGCCCCGCGGCTTAAAAGGGCGACCGCGACGCCGCCCCCGTCCTCGCCCTCGCCTGGGAAAGGGCTGCCCTCGTCCCCGCCCCTCCGCGCGCGCGCCCGCCCGCCAGAACGCCCGCCGCGGCGCGTGCCCGCCGCCCCTGGGTGCGCGCGCATCCCCGGCCCGGCCGCTCCCCTCTGCCCCCCCCCCTTCGCCCATGACCTCCCCGCGGCGGACGGGAGCCAGGCCTGGGGAGGGGGCGGGGGGAGAGGAGGGCCGAGCACGTGTGGAGGAGCGCGAGGCCCCGCCCCGCGCGGAGCCCCGCCTCCTCGCCCGAAGCTCCTCCCCAGCGCGCGCACGCGCACGCGCGCACCTCCGCCCGAGGCCAGACACGTGCGCGGCCTCTGGCGCCGGCCACGTCGGCGCGGCGGCGGGCACGCGCGCGCGCCCCAGGGGGCGGCTCCTCCGCGCGGCCACCCACTCACCTGACCCGGGCGGGGCGGGGCCGCGGCGCTCCGGGACCCCGCGGGGAAGGTGGGTGCACGCCCGCCCCGCCCCCCATCTCCACCCCCCTACCTGTCCCCCTCCCGTGACCGGCGCCCCCCCCCCCCCGCTCCAGGCCCCGCCCCTGTTGTTTTTAATTGTATTTATTTTCTGTTGTTATGAAGGTTGACATTTCTTTGGGGACAATGTCACCCCTTCCCTGGGATCCTGGGATCGGTGGGATCCTGGGATCGGTGGTGGTGGTGGGGCTTGAACTAGGGGACTGGGCGCTCACACTTGGCGCCCTACCACTTGAGCCACAGCTCCGATTCCGGTGTTCTGATTTTTGTTTGTTTCTGCGGGTTCCTTGGAGGGAAGAGGCTCCCGGACTGTGCTGCCCGGGCTGGCTTCGAACCACCGTCCTCAGAGCTCAGCCTCCTGGGTAGAGCCAGGATGGCGGGCCTGAGCCCCTGCGCCCGGCCCGATGGCTCCTATTCATATTCCTGCTTGGTCTCCCATCCAGGTGTCGGTGTCCCACCCCCCCAGGCCCCACCAGCCTGGGTTCACGCCCCACACCATCTCTTTGGGCACTTCCGCCCCTCCTCCTCCTGTGGAGAGCTGGAACCCCTACCTCTCGTGGACGCCCAGCGTGAACCCAGGGAGGGTTCACTCATCTGGACCGCCCAGCGCCTCCCGCGTGGAATCGCCGTGGGGCAGCACATAGTGTGTGCAAGTCATGTGTATTAGAAACTGGACTGTCTTCCTGGGGCGTGCAAACCTCGGCAGGTACCCCCGGCTTCCAGCTTAGGCCCAGTGCCTAATTTAACGTTCTGCTGTCACCTCTCAAAATTCACGATTTTCTGGGGTTTTTTTTCCCCTTTTACACTGCTCCTGAGGAAGGAGAGGTACCTGGACCAGGTGGCTAAGAGTGATCTTTAAGGAACCCCTGGTCTACTGATCTCAGAACATGTCTAAAGTTTTTCTTTTTCATTTACTTCTGACTCTGTACTACGTATGCTATAGTGCTTCTTAGCCTTTAGGAAATCCCTTTGAGAAACTAATAAAATCTGCTTACCAATTTTGGAGAAGCCACACACTGGTGGTTCCTGCCTATAATCCTAGCTACTCAAGAGGCAAATATCTGAGGATCACAGTTCAAGGCCAGCCAGGGCAAGAAAGTCCATGACACTTTCATCTCCAATTAATCACTGGAAAGCTGTGGCTCAAGTAGTAGTTGTCCTGAGCAAAAAAGTTCAGGCGTAGTGCCCAGGCCCTGAGCTCAAGCCCTAGGCCCAGCACAAAGAGATAGATAGGAAGGAGATATACTTATCACCAGCTTCATACACTGGGCCTGGAAACGGGGTTGGAGCTCTGAGACAGGAATAGCTCACATACTGCAGTGGAGTCATTGCCGAAATCAACACAGGCAGTGCTAGTCACGTTATTTTTCCTTCAGATCCTTCAAAACCCCTATCAGAGAAGAGCACACAGACAAGCGCTAGAGGCAAAAGGGAAACATGGTTAAACCACATAAGATCTCAGTACAATGGCTCCTGCCCATAATCCTAGCTATAAGTGGTTCTTTTTTGTTTGGTTGGTTGCTTGTTTTTGGTCGGGTCATGGGGCCTGAACACTGGACCTGAGTGCTGTCCCTCGGCTCTTCAGCTCAAGGCAAGTGCTCTACCATTGAGCCAACTTCCCAGCTCCCTAGCTATAAGTGGTTCAAGGCCAGCCAAGGCTTTGAGGTAGCAAAGAGGACATAGTATGGTGGGTACCAGCCTCTGATAAAACTCAAGACTACCTGAAAACAGTTGAGTATGTGACTTGAGTAGTAGAGTACCTGCCTAACAAGTATTAAGGCCCCAAAGTTCAAATCCCAGTACTACCAAAAAAGACAAATTAGCTGAGTGCTGGTGGTTCATGCCCATCATTGTGGCCACTCAGGAGGCTGAGATCTGAGGATCATGGTTCAAAGCCAGCCTGGACAGGAAAGCCCATGAGACTTATCTTCAATTAACCACTGAAAAGCCAGAAGTGGAGATGTGGCTCAAGTGGTTAAGAGCTAGCCTAGAGTGAAAAAACTCAGGCATAGCACCCAGGCTCTGAGTTTCAAACACCATGACCTACCAAAAAAAAAAAAAAAAACCACAAACTAGATATGACTAAGAAATAAAATGCCCTAAACAAGTTATTTCATCTTCCCCTCTAAACTATTTTGTTATATTTGCATTACTGTAAGACAATCACTACCTAAGTCATGATTTGTTTTACATTTTATTGTTGTTTGTTTTTATTTTTGTTTGGTCAGCCGTGGGGCCTGAATTCTGGGCCTGGGCGCTGTCTCTCACCTCTTCAGCTCTAGGCAAGTGCTCTACCACTTGAGCCATAGCGCCACTTCTGGCTTTTTCTGCTTATGTGGTGCTGAGGAATCGAACCCAGGGCCTCATGCATGCAAGGCAAGCACTCTACCACTAAGCCACTTTCCCAGCCCTCGTTTTACATTTTATGTCTCAAAAGCAAGTGCAAATATTAATTTCATAATATTTTACAGACTACTGCCTTGTTCACAAGCCCTAAGGGAGCTAAAAGGCAAAGTATAATCCCTGGATTCAGAAAGCTTTCTGGGCACTGGTGGTTCACGCCTATAATCCTTGCTACTCAGGAGGCTGAGATCTGAGGATGACAGTTCAAAGCCAGCCTAGGCAGGAAAGTCTGTGAGAGTCTTCAATTAAGTATCCAAAACAACAACAACAACAAAAAAGCTGGAAGTGGCCTGGCACCAGTGGCTCAAGCCTGTCATCCTAGCTACTCAGAAGGTTGAGATCTGGGGATTGCAGTTTGAAGCCAACCCAAAGCAGAAAAGTCTGGGAGATTCTTATCTCCAATAAAGTACTCAGAAAAAGCTGTTGCTCAAGTAGCACTAGCCTTGAGCACAAAGAGGCTGAGGGACAGCACCCAAGTCCTGAGTTCAAGCTCTAGCACTGGGGGGAGGTGGGGGGGGAAGGAAGGCCATATTGCTCCTTTCCTATGGGGAAGATGAACCCTCTAATAAACCTCCATATAACCCCCCCCAAAAAAAAAGATTAATAAAGAAAGCAAGCTTTTTCCAGGTATTGTAATCCTAGCTACTCAGGAGGATCATGGTTCAAAGCCAGCCCAGGCAGCAAAGTCCATGAGACTCTTATCTCCAATGAACCACCAGAAAACCAGAAGTGGCTCTGTGGCTCAGCGTGGTAGAGCACTAGCCTTGAGCACAAATGCTCAGTGACAGCATCTAGGCCCTAAGTTCAAACCCCACAACTGGCAAAAAAAAATAAAGTGGGCTGGGAAGGTGGCTCAGTGGTAGAGTGCTTGCCTTGCATGCATGAGGCCCTGAGTTCGATTCCTCAGCACCACATAAGCAAAAAGAAAAAAGCGGCGCTGTGGCTCAAGTGGTAGAGTACTAGCCTTGAGCTGAAGAGCTGAGGGACAGTGCCCAGGCCCAGAGTTCAGGCCCCATGACCGGACCCCCCCCCCCCCAAAAAAAAAAAAGAAAAGAAAGCAAACTAAACAAACTACCCTTAAAAAATAAAGTGATTAAACTTCTGAGTGCATCTTTGGGGGCATTTCCAGAAACCATTAGATGGGGAGGGCATGGACCACATGAATGGATCCATAACAGAATGGCACTCTGGGAGGTGGTAAAAGGTAGAGGAAGGACCCTGGCTCTCCCCCCACCTCCACCCCCTTCTCTCCGACCACCTTGCGCTGACCTGCGGCTCCCATAGCATCATTCAGCCATGATCTGCTGCCTAATGGACCGAGAAACAACACAGCTAGCCACAGTGGACCAAACCTTCTGAAACTTTAGCTAAAATAAATCCTTCCTCCTTCCATTGTTGGGTCAGGAATTCCAGTCACAGAGACACAAGAGTAAGGAGACAGGAAATGAGGAATTGTGGGATCGGTTGGTGGGAGCCTCAGTGATGTCATCGGCAGCCCAGATGCTTTGTATCTCCTTCGGCAGGCTGACAGGCAAAGTGGGTCATGGGCAGCCATATGTGCAGAGGCGCAAGGGACAATGGGAACTTCCAAGAGCCCGCCCCGCCTACTGCCCTGATGATTCGTCAGATAGAGAAAGTTTTGGAGCCTGAACAGACATGCCATAATGAGAGTTTCATTTGGTGTTAGTGATTGCTTTTAAGATTAATCGTGTGTGTGTGTGTGTGTGTGTGTGTGTGTGTGTCTGTCTGTCTGTGTCTGTGTCTGTGTACTAGGGCTAGCATGCTCTACCACTGGAGCCCCAGCTCCACTTCTGGCTTTTTGGTGCTTCACTGGAGATAAGAGTCTCAGGGACTTTCCTGCCTGAGCTGGCTTCAGACTGTGATCCTCTGTAGCTAGGATGACACATGTGAGCCACCAATGCCCAGCTCATTGTTTAGTTTGATTTTGTCTTTTAGTATGATTTTGTCTTTTAGTATGACTTCTTCCTGGAAAGAAACAAGTAATTAAAAAAAAAACAAACAGATCCTGGAATTGATAGTTCATATTTGCAATATCCATGGCTGTCAATCATCCTTTAAATCATCTCTTTATTTGGGAAGAAGTTTCTCTGAAA